CTCATTGAGCTATTTCCCCACCCTTTCAGACTGCCAGCTGATGATTGGCTCACAGCGGCCCCAGCAACATCTAGCTGATTGGCTCCTCTGCGGTGATGCTCATTGGGCTGTTTCCCTGCCCTTTCAGACCAGGGAGCTGCTCATTGGGGGACTTTTTTGGCTCCGCCCACGCGACCCAGCCAATCAGCCTCAAGAGCAGGAGGAGTGGGGGAGGCCCAGCAAACTTTCAGACTGCCAGCTGATGCAGGGTAGTGGGGAGGGATTTACTATAGGGATGTTTTACCACTGCCCTACACCTCCAGCCCTTTTTATTTTCTATTTTTGAGACAGGATCTCAATAAGTTGTGAGGGTGTTGCTAATTGGTTGAGACTGGCCTTGAAATTACATTCCTCCTGTCTCAGCCTCCCAAGTTGCTGGGATTACAGGCATGTGCCACTACTCCCAGCTCTTAAGTCTTTTGATAAATTGATGTTCTAAATGTTAATTAAATCCAATTTCTAAGTTTCCCTTTCAAAGTTAGTGTTATAACACAAACAAGGATGAATAGAGACCCTGTACGGCCTAAAATATTTACTATTTGGCTCTTTCTTAAAACAAAAACAAGAACAAAAAACATATGGTAACCCCGCACTAGACTAATGTGTTGAATACAGCAGCAATTCAGAGTTCAGAAAGTTGCTGCAGCTGCAATTCACACTGTCAAATTTGCCTCAAGGTATCTATGAAATTTCTCCACAAATATTTAGTAGTGTTCAACAATATTTAGTTGCAGAAAGCCATCTGTGAAATACATGAGGATCTTCTCTTGGCATGGAAGCCAGTGAGAGATAGGCCTGGCATTGGGAACTTTCTGTGGCTCTCCCATGCAATAAATGGTTCGATGCACGTGACCTTTTCCTCTGCTCTGTTAGGAAGGTTCCTCATAGTAGCTCTGGAGATGGCATAACCTGTTAGAAAATGAAAAGTCCACCTTTAACCCTTATTTTAGAGAAGAACATTCTATGGAAGGCCTTTGATGTTTTCTGATATAAATAAAGCAGGTGCCAGCCCCGTTGCCATTTGGCCAGAAGCTTGATCCATCTGATCAGCTTGCCCATCCTGCCCCCTTTTTTTTTAGTTGTAGTTGGACACTTTTATGTGATGCTGAGGTTCGAACCCAGGGCCCTGCACGTGCTAGGCAAGTGCACTACCGCTGAGCCCAGCTTCAGCCCCATGGCCCTGTCCCAGCTTTTGAAACTATTTCTGTGTTCTGTGGTTTTTTCGCTGTTGTACTCTCTTAGCTTTTATCTCTCAACCAGCTCATTCTTCCGAGGGGAACCCCATTCCCACTGCCAGTGTGGGATGTGGATGGGAAAAGTAGTTGCTTAACTTTTAAATTCAGCTTGATTTGTATTTAATAAAATATTCTTTCAAGTGTACAGTGTTACAAGTTTTGACAAAAGTACATGCCTTTGTAACCACTATCACATTCTGACTTCTAATGTGTACCAGTATCCCATTCATGTGTGTGCATGTGTGTAGTAGTAGTAGTAGTAGTAGAAATAGCAGCAGCAGTAATAGTAATAGTAATCCATTGCACCAAGATGCCACAATTTGTTTATATATTTATCTGTTAAAGAACACTTGGGTTTCTTCCAGGTTTTGGCTATTATAAATAAAGCTGCTGTGAACATTAGTGTACTTTTTTTAACACATATTTTCATTTCTTTGGTTATATACTGACAGCCTGTTTTGTGCTGCTACAACAGCATATCTGACACTGGGTAAAAAACAATTTTTTTTTCTCACAGTTACAGAAGCTATGGCCATCCAAGAACTGTTATATAGTGTCTGGTGAGGGCCTTTTTGGAAGTATCTTTATATGACAGAAGGTAGAAGGGCAAGTGATAGCTAAAAGCTGCATGAAGCCTCTTATACAAGGAATTTACTCTCATTAAGGAAAGGGAACTCATGGCCTAGTTTCCCTATTAAGGCATCACCTCTTAATACCATCACATTAGCCATACCTGAATTTTGGAGGGGATATACACTATAACATATACCAAGTATATGCTTCACTTAGGAGGAACTGCCAAATGTTTTATAAGTGACTACTTTAAATTCTCACCAGCAATATATTATGGTTTTAGTTGTTCTGCATTTTCAGAAAACTTTATATAGTTAGTCTGTTCGATTTTATCTATGTTAGTGGGTATGTTGTTGAAACTTTTTTTTTATGGAACGCTTCACGAATTTGCTTATCATCCTTGCACAGGGGCCATGCTAGTCTTCTCTGTATCGTTCCAATTTTAGTATATGTGCTACTGAAGCGAGCACTGTTGTTGTAACTTATGGGTGGTTTTTAACTTAACATTTTCATATAGACTAAAGATTTTGACTTCCTAATACTTACTAGCCATTCTATATCTTCTTTGGTGGATTGTCTGTTTGGATCTTTTGGCCATTTGAAAAACTTGATTCCATCTTTTTATTTTATTGTATTTATTTATTATTGTAGTATTTTATTGCATGTATTAGTATTTTTGGATACAAGTGTTTTGTTAGATATACATATTGCATTTTTTTCTCTGGTCTCTGCCTAAGCTTTCCATTTTCTTAATAGTATATTTTCAAGGCACAAGTTCGAAAAGTTTTTTTCTTTATGGGCATCTTGTTCTAGCATCATTGTATCCTTTAATCATTTAATTGAATTAATATTGTTGAAAATCAATGAACCATATGTAATTGAAACCTCTTTTTTTCTAAATTATTTCAGCTATTTGGCATTCTTTGTATTTTTATATAAATTTTAGAATCCGTGTATCAGTTTCTACAAAAAAATCTGCTGGGATTTAGATTTGTATTGCATTGAATCTCCAGATCAAATTGGAGAGAGCTGATATCTTTGTTAATGTCTTTCAAGGAAGGGTCTCCATTCCATCTAAGTTGTCAAATATATTGGCATAATGACATTTGTAATGTACATGTGTAGAATTTGTAGTGATATCTCCTTAATATTGGTAATTTATGCTTTTATGTTTTTTTCTTTTCTTTTGCAGTGTTGGGATCAAACTCAGTTCCTTGAGAATGCTAGGCAAGCGTTCTTGATTTGTCTAGTCATAGGTTGATCAATTTAATCAAAGGATTAGCTTTTGGTTTTAACAAGTTTTCTCAAGCTTCCCTTAGTTTCTCCAAGCTTGTCTTTTATTTCATTTATTTCACATCTTTACCATTGATTCTTTTTGTTTATTTGGGATTCGTGTGCTCTTTTTCTAGTTTCTTAAAATGCAACATTAGATCACGGATTTTAAACCTTCTTGTTTTCTAATTCAAATATCTAAGACTATAAAATAAATTCTAGGCATTACTTTAGCTGCATCCTGTCATATTATATTATATTCTGACACACTTTCATAATTATTCAAAAATATTTTCTAATTTCCTATGAGATTTCTTCTTTGCTCTATCATTTTAAATTATTTAATTGCACCACATTTGGGTATTTCTGAGTAGATATTTGTAATTGATTTTGAATTTAATTCCATTGTGGTCAGAGACTATTCTCTGTATGAATTCAATCATTTAAAACTTACTGCCTTCTTTCATGTGCCAGTAAATGGTCTTAGTGATTTTACATGTGCAACTGGATATAATTGGTATTCTGCTGTTGCATGTAGTTGTTCTTTAAGTCAATTAGTTGATCTTGTTATTAAAGTCTCATGTATCCTTGTTACTTTCTGTTTATTCTGTCAGTTTCTGTGAGAAAGATATTGACATCTCTAATTGTAAATGTATCACTTCTCTTTTCAGTTTATCAGTTTTTGCTTCATGTATTTTGAAGCTTTGCCATTAAGTTGCATACCAATTTTGAAAATGTCTTCCTTGTCTTGAAATCTTCTTTGACTGATATTAAGATAGTCAACTCAGGCTTTCTCATGACTAGTCTTTGCATAGAATTTCTTTGTCTATTTCTTCACTTTTAACTTATGTTTACCCTTGCCCTAGGGTTTATATACATTTTAAAAATGTAGACTACTCAATATATAATGTAAATAACTTTTAACCATATACTTCCTTGTTCTCCTTCCCCTCATTTTTTTGTCAGTTTATTTCTACATGTTATAAGCTCCACAATATAGTATATTTGACAATTATTTATCTTTTAAAGAAAAAAAGGTCTTTTATAATTATAAACACCCAACAAAGTTTCCAAAGCTTTATTAATAGCATTCTGTTCTATTTTTAATTTCTAAACTTATTCAAATGAATTAATGTGTATTTTTAAAATTTGGTCACTTTGTTTTCTTTTCTTTCTTTTTGTGTGGTGCTGGGATGGAATTAGGTCCTCCTGCATGCTAGGCAAGTGCTAAGGCAGGTAACGGTGGTGTGGTTGAAAAGAGTAATCCTCAAGAAGGAAGAGTCCTGTGAAGATGAGGAAAATCACCAGCAGAGGACAGGAACAAGGGTTCCTTCCTCCAGTCTTCAGACCTGTCCGGGTCGGGCAGCGGGGTCCAGATGCTTAGGTGCTGGTCTTCCCTGACCCCTGGGAGCAGATCCGCGCTTCACACCCCTCAGATCGGTTTCGCAGCCGCAGTCACTTGGCTGAAGCACTGAGTTTGCACCAGGAGATTGTAGATCTCCAAAGGCCTCTTTCAAGGTCCCCCAAACTTCGCTGGGCTGGGCGTCCACTACCCTGCCGACCATGCTGGGTCCCGGGTGCTGCAGCCCTGGGAGCTTCTACTTCCAACTTCCGGGGCGGGAAGACTCTCCCCCGGCGCCTGGGCGGGGCGTCCCACCCGCGGCGCTCCCCAGGTTCCGTAGGGGGTCTTCTCAGCAGCGTCGGAGAGGCCGCCAGCGCGGGCTCCCAGGCCCGAGGCAGCTCCGAACCGCCACGGCTCCGCCAGGCGGTTGCAGCCGGCACGGCCCCGGCGCGGATTCGCCGCCCCGGGCAGCCTGGCGTCGTGGAGGCGGCGACAGGTGGCGCAGTCGCGTGGGGGTCCTGGCCGCCAACGGACCCGCAATGCTTCGCTGGCTGCGGAGCTTCGTGCTGTCCGCGGCGGCCTGTCAGAGTGAGGATGATTACTTCCGCTACCAGATCCTCTTCGAAGACTTGGACCGCAGCGGGGACGGCGTGGTGGATATCAAGGAGCTCAAGGAGGGGCTGGAATACTGGAGCTCCTCCTTTGGCAAGGACTCGGAGAAGGTGAGCGACCGAGAGCTCTGGGAGTCTGGAGAGGCTTTGGGCATTGGGTGGTGCCCGACTTGCCGTCCTTTCCAGAGCCTCTTTCAAAGGCCCAAGAAGTAAGGTTGGGCCTCTCTGCGAGCATCGCGCAGAATAACGCAGCTCTGTATAGAAGGTTCTCACCCTTCTCAAAAGAATCACTTAGCCTTAACACAGTGATGAGAGGACAAAAATCTGTGTGTGTGTGTGTGTGTGTGTGTGTGTGTGTGTGTCGGGGGGAGATTGCGAGTGAGTTTCTGGCGACTCACTGAACTTTTACTGAACCTGCACAGAACATCTCGAGGGGGTGTCAGTCATCGTGAGTGCATAAGTGAAAAATAAGGTCTGTCTTTTCTCAAGAGGTTCTTAGCTTGAAGGTCTTCTCCAAACAATAGGCACAATGGGTGTCCCAGAGCTGCTCTTTCCTGGCATCCACACCAAAGGTGAAGGGGAGTCAGACCTTAATCAAAGCGTTTACATTTCAGCCTATTGTTTTATTATGTTGCCTAAAATACAGATGTCTTTCTTCTCTAGGCTGGTCTTGACTTGATACTTCAACAACTATTTAGGCCGAAGTTTCAGAATATCAAATTTGTTTTCCTTCCATCAATGCTAAACAACCTTCAGATGTTACTCCTATCCATTTTAGCTCTCTCTCAGTGAGGATTTTTGTTTTGTTTTGTTAAGAAGGTCCAAACCATCTACACCCTTATTTATTTAGTTTTGGGGCCAGACGTAGGAAGATCTGCCTTAAATTATGTATTCTAATTTGTTATACACGATAGCAGAATGCAATTCATTTCATGTTACACATATATAGCACAATTTTTCAAGTCACTGATTGTACACCAAGTATTTTCACACCATTCGTGTCTTCATATATGTACTGCCTTCAAATGAAGGAGATTTGCCTTATTTCAAAGGTGAAGAGGGTCAGAACATCACAATCCCTCACCTTTGAGACAATCACGTTGTACTTTTATGGGGTCCTTTCTTGTTTCTTAGCAGAAAACTTAAAATCACAAGCAAGTAGCAGGTTCTTAAAAAGAATTTTTGTCAACATTACAAATTTTTTAAATTTTGACATTTATCTTTTGGGAATAAATCTGTAGAGCCTTGAATTTGTTTAATATTAATTTTGTGCTAATTATATTTTTTTCGATTTTGTAGTGTAAAATACACATTAACACTAAATGTACCACCTTAACCATTTTTAAGTATACAGTGCAATGGTATTAAAGAATTCATATTGTTGTTCAATAATCTCCACCATCCATTTCTAGAACTCTTTTCATCTTACAAAACTGGAACTCTATATCCGTTAAACAATAACTCCTCAATTGTCCCCTAAATCTGACCACCAGCATTATACTCTTTGCCTCTATAATTTTGACTACTCCTAAATATCTCATATCAATGTAATCATACATATTTGTCTTTTTTGTGACTCGCTAATTCCACTTACCATAATGTCTTCAAGATATGTTGTAGCATATCTCAGAATTTCCTTCATTTTTAAGGATTAATAATGTTCTATTGTATGTATATACCGCATTTTAACTATTTGTTGATGGACACTTGTGTTATTTTGTGTTGTGGTTACTGTGGCTAATACTGCTTTGAACTTAGGTGTTTAAATATCTCTTTTAGATCTTGTTTTTAATTCTTTCACTTATATGCCCAGAAATGGAATTGCTGATCAATAGTAATACTGCATTTAACTTTTCGAGGAACTGCCAGACAAATTTTCCATAGTAGCTATATCATGTTACATTTCCACCAGTGGTGCAAAAGTGTTCAAATTTCATATGCTTGCTGACATTATTTTTTTAAGTAGTAGCCATCCAAATTGGTATGAGGTGGTATTTAATTGTATTTCAGGTGTGCATTTCCTTAATGGTTAATGATGTTGAGTTTCTTTTCATGTACTTACTAGTCATTTGTTTATCTTCTTTGGAGAAGTGTCTGTTCTTTGGAGAAAGGTCTATTCAAGTCCTTTGCTTATTTTTAAATTAGGTTATTTAGTGTTTTGTTAGGGGGTTTTTTTTGGCATTTTACACACACACACACACACACACACATATATTTAAATATATATTATTATGGCTAATACTATTATTGTGGCTAATACTGCTGTGAAGATAGGTGCATAAATATCTCTTTGAGATACTGCCTTTAACTCTTTCTAGTGTTTGTGCAGAAAGAGAATTGCTGGATTAATGGTAATTTCTGCCATTTTGGAACCAAATCTAAGAAATCATTGTCCAATGTCATATAGTTTTATTGTGTGTTTTCTTTTGTAGTTTAATAGCTTTAGTTCTGATGTTTAAGTTTTTAATTTATTTTGAGTTAGTTTTGTACATGGTTTGAATAAGATAGGTCCCAATTTCATGTAAGAGTTTGAAAACAACTAGTATTAGTTCTTCTTTAAACATTTGGTAGCAGCTGGATATGAGGACACATGCCTATGATCTCAGTGACTTAGGAGAAAATACAGCAGGGAGATCACAAGTTCAGCCTAAGCAATTTAGTGAGACCCTTTATCAAAAAATAAGAAGGACTAGCAATGTAATGGTAGAATACCACTGGATCTAATCCTCCATACCAATAAAAAGTATTTTAAACCTGAAGCCATCAGGGTCCCCTTTTTAATACAAATTAAATATCTTTACTCATTATTGGTCTATTCAGATTTTCAATTTCTTTATGATTCAGTCTTGGTAGATTGTGTAGGAATTTATCTATTTCTTTTAGGATACCCAATTTGTTGGCATATAATGTTTATAGGATCTCATTTGTATAGTATCATCATTTGTAATTTTTTGGTACAGTTGTAATATTTTCTCTGACATTTCTGATTTCATTTATTCATGACATTTCTTCTCTCTTAGTCTAGTTAAAGGAACATTAGTTTGTTTAACTTTACCTGTTCTGTGAATTTTCTGAAATTCCTTCTGTTATTGTGAATATAAAAAGTACTTGATATTATTTCGGTCTTCTTAAATTTGCTAAGGCTTATTTGTGCCTAAACATGTGAATCTATCCTGGAGAATGTTCCATTTGTATTTGAGAAGAATGAATATTTTGTTGTTGTTGAATGAAATGTTCTGTATATATCTGTTAGGTCCATTTGGTTGAAAGTATTGTTCACGCTCAATTGTTTATTTATTTATTACCTGTCTGGGTAATCTGTCCAATATAGAAAGTGAGGTATATACCCTATCATTGAATTGTACTTTCTCTCTCCCTTCAGATCCTTTGATATTTGTTTTATATATTTAGGTGCTTCAGTGTTGTATGAATGTTTTAATTGTTATATCCTCTTGATTGGTTGGCCCCTTTGTTGTTACTTAATATCCTTGTCTCTTTTTATAATTTTTGACTTAAAGTTTATGTCATCTGATAGATATATTTGCCTTTTTGTTTTGTTTTTATTTGCATTGAGCATATTTTCCCATTCTTTCACTTTTAGTCTATGGGTATCCTTAAAAGTGTGGTGTCTTAAGTAGACAACAAATAGTTGAGTCTTTCAAAAAAAAAAACCAGTCATAAAACTAGATCCCTATTTTTGATCCTGCACAAAAGTCAAATAAAGTGGACCAAAGACTTAGGAATTAGATCAGAAACTCTGCACTTTCTAGAAGAAAACATAAAGTCAACACTTCAACATATTGATATGGGCACTGACTTCTTTAACAAGACTCCTAAGCTTAAGAAATAAAACCAAGAATCTATTAGTGGAATAACATCAAATTGAAAAGCTTCTACATGGCAAAAGAAGTTAGTAAGAGCACAAAGAGACAGCGTAGAGCATGGGAGAAAATCTTTGTCAACTGTTCCGTTTAGAGGGTTTTAATATCCAGAATATAAAGATCTCAAAAAAGTTTACCAAACAAACAAAAAACCCAGTCAATGAGTGGACAAAAGAACAAAAGGGACACTTCTCAAAAGGAGAAACACAAATGGCCAACAAGTATATGAAAAAATGTTCCACTTCCCCAACTATATTAAAATGTCATCTTACTCCAGTCAGAATGGCAGTGACCAAGAATACAATAATAAATGCTGATGAAGATGTGGCAGAAAAGGTACATAAAAGTTGAGTTCATTTTGATACATTGTTGTGGGACTACAAATTATTGCAGTCACTCTGGGAAGCAGAATGGAGATGCCTCAAAACACTAGAAATGTTTTATATTAACATATGAATCTTCATAATTTCCTAAAATCTATTTTTTTCTATTTCACATATTGCAATACAATTTAATAACATTTCTTCATGATTTCAATCCTTTTGATTGAAAAGACATTTTTGATCTTAATTTTTTTGATTATTAATATTTTTAAAATTTATTTTTTAAAATTTTTTATTTATTATATATGACAACAGAATGCATTACAATTCAATTACACATATAGAGCACGAGTTTTCATATCTCTGGTTGTACACAAAGTAGAGTCACATCCTTTGTGTCTTCATACATGTACTTAGGGTAATGAAAACCATCGCGTTCCACCATCTTTCCTACCTCTATGCCCCCTTCCTTCCCCGCTTCTTCCCCTTTGCCCTATCTAGAATTCATTTAATCATCCCATCCCCCCAGATGCTCTGTGTCTTTATTAGAGAATTTAATCCACTTAAATTATTAATAGGCAAGACATGCTAATGTCATTTTGTTTGTTGTTTCCTGGTTGTTTAAAACTTTGTTTCTCTCTCACTGTCTTCCTTTGCAGTTTGATCATTTCTGTACTGGTATGCTTTGAATCCTTTCTATTTTTGTTTTGTTCTTTTACCAAACATAAATTTTTTTTGTGGTTAACATGGGGCTGACAGAACGTCTTACAATAGTTTAGGTCAAGCTGATAATAGTTTAACATTGATTGCATACAACAACTCTGCAGTTTTCCTCCACTCTTCACAATTCTGTTTTTGATGTAAGAATTTACATCATTTCATAATGTGTACCCTTTGATAATTTATTTTAGCTATGGTTGTTATTAATAGTTTTATCTTTTTGCCCTTTTACTAGAGTCAATATTGCTTCATATGCCATCATTACAGTCCTAGAATATTCTGAATATGGTTCTTTTTCATTTATACCATTGAGTTATTTTTCTTGTTTTGTGTTATCAATTAGCAGTCTCTTGTTTCAACTTAAATAATTTCCTTTAGAAATTCCTATAAGGCAGGTCTAGTGGTGATGAACTTCCTTAGCTTTTATTTCTATTTCTATTTCTTCTTTTTGGTACTAGGGATTGAACCAGGGGCAATTTACTATTGAGCTACATCCCAAGCCCTCTTTTTCAATTTTGTAAAAATTTTGAGACAGTCCCATTAAGTTGCTTAGGGCCTTGCTAAGTTGCTGAGGCTGGCTTTGAATTTGCAATCCTTATCTCAGTCTCCCGAGCTGCTGGGATTCCAGACCTATGCCAGTGTACCTATCTCTTCCTCATTTCTTAAAGACAGCTTTGTTGGGGAAAATATTCTTGGTTGGCAATTTTTTCTTTGGGTGCTTTGAATATCTCATATCATTCTCTGCTGGCCTACAGGGTTTCTGCTGAGAAATATTTTGATAGCTGTTTTGACATTCCTTTGTATATAATATATTTCTTATCTCTTACTATTCTCAGAATTTTTTCTATCTTTCTTTATATTTTTTATTATCTGTTCATAGATCTTTATTTTATTTACTTATTTATATGTGGTGCTGAGAATTGAACCCAGTGCCTAGCACATGCTAGACAAGTGCTCTACCACTGAGCCACAACCCCAGCCCTTTTTCTTTATTTTTAATTTTTGATAGTTTGATTATTATGTTTCTTTGACTTGAATTTAATTGGAGATCTCTGAGCTTCCTGCACCTGGATGTTGGAATCTACCCACAGATTTGAGAAGTTTTCAGCCATTATCTTTAAATATACTTTCTCCTTCTTCTCCCCTTCACTTTCTGCAGCTCCTATTATGTGAAGATTTGTGGTCTCTCATTAGGTTCCTATAATTGCTATATGCTTTCTTTGTTGTTTTGCATTTTTGCTCCTTTGATAGGATAAAGTGAAATATTCTGTTTTACAGGTCATTGATTCTTTCTTCTGCTTCAATTGGCTGTAGAAGTTTTTTGTTGAAATTTTCAGTTGTATCATTGTATTATTCATTTTGAAGAGTTTTCTTTGGTTCTTTTTTCTTGTTTCTAATTTTTTGTCAAACCGCTTGCTTTGCATATTGTTTTTCTTTTTAATATTTTTTAGTTGTAGATGAACACGTAGTATCTTTATTTATTTTTATGTGGTACCAAGGATGGAATCCAGCCCCTCACATATGAGAGGCAAGCGCTCTACAGAGCACTGAGCCCCAGCCCATGTATATTGTTTTTCTTATTTTGTTGCATTTTATATTCATATATTCTAGTGCTTTACTGAACTTCTTTAAGAGGATTATTCCATTTTTTTGTCAGTCATTCCTATGATTTGGATGTGGTTTGAATGTCCTCTAAGGGTCCACATGTTAAAACCTTGGTCCATAAGATGGAGGTGTTAGGAGGTACTTTAAGAAGATGGACCTTGTGGAGATCCTTATGTCGTTGTGGAAATTCCCTCAAAAAGGATTGTGGGACCCCTGTCCTCTCTTTCTTTGCGCTCTGGTTTGGGATATGACTGTTTGCTTCTACATATATTTCTGCCATAATGTGACATCATCTGCCACCCTCACCAGAGGCCAAACCAATGTAGGTGCCCAATCATTGATTTTTGAATCTCCAAAACTATGAGCTAAATAAACCTGTCTCTTCATACATTATCTGCCTTAGGTATTTTGTTACAGTAATGCAAAGGTGACTAATAGCCCTTCATAGATCTATACTTTCATAGAGTCTATTATCAGAGCCTTGCTGGTTTCTTTTGAGATATCATGGTTCCCTAATTCTTTGTAATTCTTATCTCCTTGCATTGCCGTTTGTGAATTTGAGGAGATAACCCCCTCTTCTAGCCTTTATAGATGTTCTTTGTCAGGGACTAGATGGTCACTATTTAGTTTAGCCTGTGATTTTGAAAGGACCAGGTGGTGATTACCCTAGGCAGGCAGAGCTTGTTTCAGGTTCTCTAATTGGTAGTGCTATCTTTGCTCTGCTGTTGGGCCATGCTTCTGGCAGAGTACTTCAATGACAGTCACAGCATGTATTCCTTGGCTGGAAAATTCCCTATTTGGGATCTGTAGTTGGCAGGCTGCATGCTGAGCTCCAAATTTAGGAGGAGTCACTGCTTGGGACAGGTGAGGCTATGTTCCTTAGAAAATATACCATTGAGTATTGACTTCTTGTAGGGTGGAGCCATGGGGTAGGCTTTTGGCTGAGTTAGTGGCTGTTTGATCTCTTAGGTCATGCAAGTATAGCCCTTTATGCTCTCCAAAATGCTTGAGGTGGTATTCTCCCTGCCTTGGCAAGGTTTTAGGGAAGGCCATCCTCCCGTGCCCTTTATACTGGGGATTGAACCCACGGGTGCTTTACCACTGAACTACATCCCCAGCCCTTTTTATTTTGAGATACGGTCTTGCTAAGTTACTGAGGGTTTCACAGAGTTGCTGAGGTTGGCCTTGAACTTGCAATCCTCCTGCCTCAGCCTCCTGAGTTTCTGGGGTTATAGACATGATGAACCACTGCACCTGGCAGGGGAGGCTTTTGGGCTGAATGGAACCACTGCTTGACTTCCTGTGTCCGTCAGGTCTAACCCCTATGCGTTTTTGAAATGGGTAGGGGCAAGCATCTCCCTTCATGTATGGGATTGTTGGAGTGGGCTCTGAGGCTGGGCATGGTGCACAGCTATCTTGAACTAGGTTGAATTTCTTACCATGTTTCTGAAGACACCCAGCTCAGCTTTGCAGATAAGCTATTTTCTTTGATCAAAGTTGACTGTTGTCTTTGATCAAATGCCATAGCTGGCAGTAACATGGAGATACCATGAAGAATCACACACTAATTACTATAGTACCAGCCTCTTTTTTTCCCTCCTACTGGGCCCTCAGTAGTCTAGCCATGCTGCTACCTGCAGTGTTCCTTGTGAGGTGAGAGTTGAGTGGGCTTCCTGGTAAGTGTCTTAGAATACCAGGGAAGCTGGATGACTGCTTCTGGTTCCCTTTTCTTTCTGCAGAAATGGAATTCTACCTGGCATTGTGCCAACTTGGGGGAGGGGAAGAGACAGCATACCTGAAGTGAGACTGTTCTTTTTACTTTCTAATTCAGTTTTCATTTAGCCATGCAGGTGTTCCAAGCTTGCTTTCAAGTAGCAGGGATTTCAAAAAAGATGTTCTTATCTATGACTAGTTGCTAGTTGAAGTTTCTGGTGGCAGAGAGGGGAACCTGAGGCTTTTTATTTCATCACCTTGATGACATCACTCACAAGAATTAATTTTAACACAAAACATTGTCTCTGGAATAAGTAGAAAGCTAGTAGATTAAAAGTAAGCATAAAATAAATAAACTGAAAATAAATTAGTATTCTTAAATTGTGATGAAATACCATATTGTCTAATGAAGTAGAGGCATCCCCTCTGATTTTTTTCTGTGAAATGTTGTCAAGTTTTGAGGCATATTATAACAAATTTGAGATAATTTCCATGATATGATTACAAGTATTGAAAGATAATTGAGAGAGGAATAATTTTATTACCCTGTGATTTAGTGCAATTTAACACAATTTTCATGTATATACTATATGTATCCTACTTACTGGGAATTACTAACCTGGAGAATTAATTTGAAATCCTTTTTGTGGCATATAAGCCTTCTCATGGTCTCTCCCCAGCTTTTCTGATCTATTTTTCTTCTATGTATTTTGTCCTTAGCAAATTGGAACTATACAGAGTTTGTTATGAATATTAAATGAGTTTATACATATAAGGTGCTTAGAAGTAAATGCTCAACAAATATTAGCTATTATCACTACTGTTATTATTATTCCATGTTTTTTTCTAATTAGCATCTGTTCTGCCTCCATGCAAGTACTGTCACAGATTCTTGGATCCATTGTTCTAATGCCTGTTTTTCTTTGCAAGTATTGGCTCAAGCAGTCTTCCTCTGTGAAGACTCTCCAGAGCCTCTCCAAACCTTTCTGTACCTTGAATATATTCCCATTATGTCACCTAACATATTGTCTTTGGTAATGGGTTGTATCTTTTAGTCTTAACTTTGCCTCTGACTTGTTTTCTTATCCTAGCACAAGTCCAGTTCTCAGCTCATGGTATTTATTTTTCAATTCAGTAAAAGTTAATTATGAATTACATAATTTTTTGAAATTAAGGGCCTATGGATACCATATTTTATAATAGACACCATCAGTATCTAGTTCCCATTCTTATTTTACAAGGCTAGGTCTCAAACCAATAAGCTAGGGGATATACTAGAATTTCACATATTTTATCACATGTAGTTCAAATTTTATTCCTGATGGCAAAGGCTATGTGTTATGTTTATTCCTGTGAGGTACTTGACATTCATTATTTAACTCAGGCAAATACTTATTTACTAAAGTTCATAATTATTTGAGATGACACAATAGCTATTGACTCTACTATTGCACAAATTAAAAAATACCACTTGATACACAGATTTAAAAATTTCTTAATGTACTTTGTAGTTGTGACAGAAAACATAGATAATGGATGCTTATGGCAATCGTAATTACTCTAAGTGAAATGTACAAATGCTCACATGGTATAGTGACTTGACTTATAATATACTTCTACAACGATTTTCTTTACTTTTGTAGGATATTCTTAAGGCAGGAGATGCCAATCAGGATTCAGGATTGGACTTTGAAGAATTTGTGCGGTACCTTGAAGACCATGAGAAAAAAATGAAGCTGGCATTTAAGAGTCTGGACAAAAATAATGATGGTGTGTGTGTGCTTCCTTCACAGTTAGCTTAATGTGAATAAGTGTCAGTACTAGAGGGCACCTTCGCTAGCCTTTAATTTATCCCTGCTATCAAAGATTCCATTATTTCTACTAGTTGTCTAGAAGTAATTTTTAGCATCCTAGGAATAACACAAAACTATATTTATTAGCCTTATATTTCTATGTGGTTTCTGTCTTTTTAATAAAATAATTTTTGTGGAAGTTTGTATCTTCTGAATTTAAAGCTTCTTTGCTTAGTGAGGAGACCTTCCTCTTTTTTGTAATATATGAGCTGAAATTATTATGGTAATTTAGAAAATGATATTTTTCTCTGATTGTTAAAATATATCTCTTGCTGGAGAGTTGGATAAAACAGAGAAGCTCCTGAAAGAAAGTATAAATTTCTTATAACCCTGCAATTTAGAGATGAATTTTCACGTTTTTATGTTTTTCATTTTCTTCAAGATTTTCTGTTTTTTTCTTGATTTCTCTCTCTGCTTACCTCTCTTTAAATAAAATTGCAGTCATACTATGTATATAGTTTTGTGTTCTATCTTGTATGTTTAATGTAATATTGTAAGCATTTTCACTTCATTTAATATTTTTTACAATTTTAATTACTATGAAATATTCCATTTATAAATATTAGTTATTCAATAATCCCCATATTATTTAGGACATTTTGAATCTTTTATAAATAATAGTGCCATCTATATCCATGCTGATTTGAAGAGGAAAGACCTACTCTGTTATATTTTGTACAGATTCTTAGAGAGACTGAATATAAAAATAAAATACTACTTCTGCATCCATATGTAGTTAAACCTCCTTGGGTAATTAGAATCTAATTATACCCTACTTAAGAAATATATGTTAATTTTTAAGTTGTATGAAATCTAATTTTTGATGACTGAAAAATTCTACATGGAACTAAAAAGCTACTTAAAGGATTCTACTGATGGATTCTTGAATGAAACAGGGTGTAACCTGAACATCTCAGGCTTTAGAGGCTGGAGAGTACAAAAGTGACCACATTTTCCTTCATACTCAAATCTCAGTGGTCCAGTTTCCATTTACTTTCCAGAAGAAAATTTAGACATTTCTGAACCTTTATTTCTACTGAAATAGTACTCAGAAATTTTAGAAGTACTAACCAACATCTGCAAATCAGACCTGGCCATCTGCAGATCTAAGACTGACAGATCTACTATAATGCTGTTCTGGAATTTTACTCTGTTGTTGATTGCTACCATCATGATCATCATTTGTGAAGTTGAAAATCCTGTCAGCTAATTAGTAAAATTAGGATGCTATTAGAAAAATATAACACTGTTCTGGTAAAACTGCATATAACTGCTTATGGATCTTGGTAGTAGAGAGTACTTGTTCTGAAGGAAATAAGTTATACAGCAATGAGAAAGTCTCAAAGTGATATATTAAGATCCAAGTAATAGGGTCTTGACAAGTCAAGTTGGAACATCACAGCTCAGCCCTCAGCATCCTGCAGAGTAATGTTGTGGGAGAATTACCATTTCTATTCTACTGGCTTCATTGTTTTGAGTCTTTGAGCTGTAATAGTAGTTAGAGTTGAGTCTCTACTGCTGCCCACCTGGATTACAGAGCTCAGGTTCCAGAAGCCCTGTAGAAGTGCTGCTTTGATTGAGCTGTCTGCTCTGTTGCTGAGTTGTTGTTATTGCTGATGTTACAGTTTCCAACTTTGTGTATAGTTCAGCTAGTTTACTTTGGCCAGACTACTTATTGAGGGATTGAAAGAAAATACTTATGTGTTAGGAGCTGAATTGTGTCTCTTCCTAAATATCTCAATCCTCTCAATGTGACCTTATTTGAAAATAGGATCTTTCTAGAAGTAATCAAGTTAAAATGAGGTCATTAGCAGGGCCCTATTCTGACTGGTACCCGTACTAGAAAGAAATTTAGACTGAAAAGACAGGGACACAGGATCTGAATGATTCATCTAAACGCCAAGGAGTGCCTGAGGCTGTCAGAAGCCAGGAGAGAAGCATAGAGCAGGTTCTTCCCTAGCATCTTCAGATGTACATGACCCTTCAGACAACTTGATTTTAAACTTCTGGCTTCCAGAACTGTGAGCTAAGGCACTAACTTATGGTACTTTGTTACAGTAGCCTTCGGAAATGAATATATTTTCCCCTCTGTGTTAAATTTAATTAGAAGCATCTGAGTTCCTATTGTGTTCAGCCTAAAGGTCCATGGTTACAGTTGCAAATATATGCATAAAGAAATTATTTTTTTAATTTTTATTGTTGGTTGTTCAAAACATTACATAGTTCTTGACATATCATATTTCACACTTTGATTCAAGTGGGTTATGAACTCCCATTTTTACCCCGTATACAGATTGCAGAATCCCATCAGTTACACATCCACTAATTTACATATTGCCATACTAATGTCTGTTGTATTCTGCTGCCTTTCCTATCCTCTACTATCCCCCCTCCCTTCCCCTCCCCTCCCATCTTCTCTCTCTACCCCATCTAATGTAATTCATTTCTCCCCCTTGTTTTTTTTCCCCTGCATAAAGAAATTATTAAACGTGATTTCATCATTAAGGTTCTTTCTTGAGGGGAGTTTTTTGTGAGTGGGAGATGAGGAAATGAAGGAAAAGGAATTAACATTTATTGGACTCTTCTATCTGCTGTGTTTGTTCTGGCTACTTTACCTAATACATCACATTTTTTATTTCACATAGTCCTTGCAGTCTGAGAACACTAAGGCTTTGGAAGGGTAAATAATTTTGCTTTTCTTTGCCTGTTCCAATTAGTCACATCTGCTAGGATTCATACCCATCTGTCTCATATTGACCTGGGCTTTATCATTTGATTTGCTTCAGCCATTGAGACATGAGCAAGGCTTAATAAAAGAGTACTTGTACATTGTAACTTGCTATTTTGGAGTACTGCCTCTTAACCATCCTGAGACACCAGAAAAGAAGTCTAGCAACCCATCTGGAGAGACCACATGGAGAGAGATGCTCATTTAATTATTAGCTGTTCTGCATTCTCCTCTGAGGTAACAGATATATGATTGAAACCATCCAGCTGCCAGCTACAGTTGGACCTTCAGATGAGTGAATTCACATGAAAACCTAGGCAATACCAGTAGAAGAGCCAACCAGTTGAACCAAGCTCAGATTTTATATTTGTGATCATATATTCTTTTTAAACCATGAATGGTGATGCATTATAGCAATGGATTACTGGTTTAGGAATGGAATAATTTGCAGTTATTCCTGGAATTTCAATGCTGGAATGGTTGCAGTCTGTTCCATTCATCTAAACACCATCATTTCATTGAATTATTTTCAAGTTCATCATTGCAGTGAAAGCAATTTCGATTTTTCTGGGTCAGTATATAAACAAATAAAAGGGTTTTTTGAGAAGAGGCAATAGCTTGAACAAAGGGAAATTACCATACAAGGTCAGAGCTAGTTAAAGGCCATTTCATGTTTGCCCCAACTCAATATTTTTGGGGAAAATTTCATTACTAGATAACAGATTCAGCAAAATGCATAAATTATAATAAGTTATAAATTACACATATAAGCTGCATGAATTTTCATAAGGCCAACCTTGCCAAGGTACCTATTGTCATGATTTCTAATGCTATATGTAAGTTTGCAATAAATCTTTAGTAAATAAATGTGTCTTGCTCATAATGTACCTTGCTCCTTTTATGAAAGTGTTTTTTTTCTTTGATGGTCTCTTGTTTATCCTTTATGGTACTTTATTTGTAACTCTTGTTTCTTACTCCTTTATTTACCTTTTCATCACATTTTATTTATAAGTCTTTTTTTAATTAAAAAAAAAATTAAACTTTCAATTTTCTTCTTTTTTTTTAATGTGGTGCTGAGGATTGAACCCAGTGCCTCATATGTGCTAGACAACCAAGCGCTCTACCACGGAGCTACAACCCCAGCTGCTATTTATAATTCTTCTCTTAACATACATTTAACACAGTGTGATAATTTTTAAAAATAATTAGAGCATTCATATAAATTTGTAAACTCATTGGTGATTTTGTTAATCCTTGAATTCTTTCACATTTAAAATAGAGATATGCAGAGTAGGTTGTCAAATTGTTAAAAATTACTGAATTGAATTCATGAATATAGTGTTTGAAGATTATAATGAATTATAAGGCAGAGGATGCATGCTTTCCCAGTTGATGAAGCTTTGATTTCTAAGCTGAGGAATAGTCAGTAAATTCCAACCTATAGATCTTGGAATGGAACACTTGGGGCCTTGGAGTCACTGCAAGGAGTCTGAGATTGTATATCTGAATAAAGGTCTTGGGCCAAGTAATGTTGTATACTTATGTGGACTATTATTTATGAATGTAAGCATATACAGCCCTTGTTAATAAAATACAAATGAATGTATGGTTGAATTTGTGATAGCTTTTTTGTATTACCTATTTTTCAAGTAGGAGACACTAAAGTTGACCTTTTTCATTAAAAATTATATATGTATTAGAATGAAATAGACATTATTAATACTGTGTGTATATACGTGACTGCATGACCAATGTGATTCTGCAAACTGTACACTCAGAAAAATTAGAATTATATCCCATCTGATTCAAATGTAAAAAATAAAATAAAAAGATTGAATAGCCTCAATTATCTTTATGTGAGAGAGGAATCAAAGATATTTTGGGTTTTGAGAATAATGTGATTAGATTTGTGTTTTAGAGTTTGAGGTGAATATGGAATATTTAATTTTCCCTTCATGACATCCAGCAATGTGAGAATGTACAGCATAGTGAAATTGTATTAACTATATTTGTTGATTTGAGTTATTTAACATAAGATGTGTTTACTTAAAAGTGTTTGGCTTTTTATTCTAAGTATGTTGTATATTAAGTATTTTGTCTTTATTGAGTGGCCTTCTTTTCATGCCCCTGAATCAGGTCTTCAGAATAAGCTTTTTCAGTTCTTTCCAAATAGATGTAATAATCAAGAATCTGTTACAGATCTACTTGGGTGTCAGATGTGTTTTGAAATGTAGAATTCGGATTTTAGAAAAGTAATATACTGTATACATACATATTATGTAATAATACAAGTGGGATCTGGGTCACCATCATGCAATTATAGTCATGATATTTCTGCAGTGAAACATGAATGTTCACATTACATCATTACAAATAATTGACCAAAATTAACCTCACATCAGTCTTAATTGGGTTTTGCTACCAAATAAACTTTTGATTCTAAATTTACAAATAATGTTTGACTTTTTAGAGCTTCTTAAGCATGGGGTATTGATTTGGGATTATAGACATATAGGGCTGATGAACTTTTTTAAAAGACTATTGCACTCTAAGTATAGTTTGCGTCATTATCTTTTCAGATACTTTAATGTGATTTTTTTCATTTCTTAAAGGAGTAATAGAAGTTTCAGATATAATTGCTGCGGTGAAATCACTGGGTATACATATTTCTGAAGTTCAGGCAAAAGAGATTCTGAAAAGGTAAGCACTTATCCTCATTGTTAGTAGTTTTTTAGATTGTGTTTTATTAGCTATGTCAGAAACTAATTGCTATAGATACGACATTTCTACCCTTATTCTGTAACTTTGTACTTGCTTAATTCTGTCTGCTTTGAATCTGTTCCTCTGAAAGCAACTTGCAAAGGCATTCCATTAAGTGCTTGAACATTTAAGTAGCAGAACCAAATGAACTCTCATATTCTCTCAGCTTTAGGGTTCACAGGCTGTACTTATATGGCCACCTCCTACCACCCCCCGCTCCCCCCCAAGTGTGTGTGTGTGTGTGTGTGTGTGTTTATTATATGCATGTTTATATATGGGAGGAGGAAAGGGGAGGTGTCAGAATGAACTCCTGGCCTCCCACTATTGCTTGAATCAAACAGTAGCACCTTTATTTGTTCTGTATCTTAAGCTTTCAGGAAGATTTCTTTTGAAGAAGGAATTCCATGGTTGAAACTGCTGTGCCTTATACAAAGGGACAAAGATAAAATAAGGAGAAGTTTTAAAAGAACAGGAGGAAAGGGGAAGGCTGAGAGATGAAAGGGAGACTTAATGCTGGCTGTATCCTCCTACTCCGCTTTACTGTGCTGCTAAATTTTCTTCCCTTAAACAAACTGTTAGAGAATTGCTTTCATAGGTCCAGAGAAGCTTGATTGGTGGTATGCTCATTCTCAAACTTCTTGGGTTTAAGAAATAAGCACAACAAAGTATGCATATTGATTCACTCTTGGGTTCTCTTCAGGTGATATATGTATTCCCAAATCTACTCTTTCAGTCCATTCCTAAAAATTATACCAGTTTGGATTTGCCCATAAAGCTCCCAAGTGTCTGGTGCTTTGATATGCCCTCTGTATAGAGTCTTATGTGTTAGAATGGCATGTATGATGGGATCTCTGACTTTAAACAGGCTCAGGCAGTGGTCTTCTGGCTTTTAGCAAGGATAGAGATGTGTTTAAAGCTTGAGAAGAACCAAGTAAACTGTAATGTGGGAAAGTTGGGGGAACAGAAACTGTATTTTCCACATAAGATATTACTTCAAAGATAATGCTTTGAATTCTGGCAATTTTATTTCTTCTTTTCTAATACTTATACCTTTGATTAATCAACTTCTCTTGCTAGAATGGTGTTGATGGTAATGATGGTCATTCTGTCTCCTGATTATAAAGGGAATAATTTAATATTTATCATTAAGAATGGCTTATAATCTTCCTCATGTTAAAGAAGGTCCTTTCTTATATTTTATAAAGAGATTTTTTTTTAAAAAATTACACATGGGATTATATTTGTGAGAATATCAAATATCTTTCTTTAACGTGTCAATGTGGCAAATTAGTTTATAGATTTTTTCCTTGTCAGCTTATCTTTGCATTCCTGGAATGTATGCACCTTTTAACAATACATTCTTCCAGAGGTTTGGGAGGCTGAGGCAGGAAAATTTCAAGTTCAAAGCCAGCCTCAGCAATTAGTGAGGCTCTAAGCATCTTAATATGACCCTCTCAAAAAAGGATTGCGGATGTGGCTCAGCAGTTAAGGACCCCTAGATTCAATCCCTGGTACAAACAACAACAACAACAACAAAAACATTTAACAAATGTTAATAAACAAACAAAGAAAAAGACATTCTGATAAATTCACTTTGCCAAAAATTTGTGAGTAACTTTTACATTTTATGCTGTGGGAGAGATCACTCTGTTCTTTTCTATGCTTCACTGTCCTAATTTAATTTTGATTTTTAGGCTACATTGACTAAAATCTCATGGAGTGAGTTGAGGAAAAGATTTCCTTTTCACATTCTCTGTAAGAGATTGAATAACATTGCATTGATCTACTCCTGGAATGTTTAAAAGAAAAATTGTAAAATCAGCTGAGCCTTATGTTCTCTTTATGTTCCATTTAAAATAATTGGTTCAATTTCATTAAGAATTGTCAAATAATTCACATTTTCTAGTCCCTCTTAGATCAGCTTTGTAAAGTTGTAATTTTTCCAGAAATACTGTTTGGTATATTGGAAATATACTACTAAATCATACTTAACATAAATTACAAACTGCCAATGATTTATTAAAAATTTATTTATACAACTTCTATAAATTCTAGGAATTATTTTATCTAAATTTTCAAATTTATTGGGATAAATTTGTGTATCTCTTATTTGATCTCCTCCAAATCTATAGTTATTTATTTATTTACTAACTATCCCTAATATTCATTGGTGCTTACAAAATTTTTTTTCCACTGAAATTTTCTCATTGTATTATTAATTATTTCAAATAATTAACTTCCGACTTCTCGCACTTGTCATTCTGTTGTCTTGGCCACAGCCTGCGTGGAGAAGGAATAGGTAACCCTCATAGTGTGGGCTGGCTGGAAATAAAAGTCTGAAAAAGTAGTACTAAGAGATAAAGACAAAGGATACAAGAAATATAGTTTGAGCGGGTGCTTTATGGGTGGAAGGGACCTGATGGGTCTGCTCCTAACAAAGGGGAAAAGCCTGTGAATACTTTATTTATAGTGAAACACACCAAAGAAATTTATGGTGAGGAGGGGTTCTTCACAGTAAACCAGAAGTCACAGCTGTGGGGAAGCTGGCCTAATTGTGGATCTAGCACTTGTGCTGCAATTCTTCCTCCTGGAGGCAGCTGGTGCCACGGGGTGAGTTGGGCCACTGGTATCTCTCTCCACCTGCGTTTGAACCATGGGCTGTCTGAGCCAATAAATTCCGGGGTATCACAGAATTCTCTCTGAGCACAACGTCTGCCAAACCAAGGGAGCAGTCTCACATTGGTGAGATTCCACTGGAGTTCTCCAAAGGGCCTACTTCTGCTTTAGACCTTGGTTCAGACATACCAACAGTTCATTCAGGGCTTCAAACACTACTGCAGCTATGAAATGGCTTGAACATGAGAGAACCTCCAAACACATAAGACTAAAAATGCTATATCTGTCCTTTTCTGTTTAATTAATTAATAATTAGTTCACTAATTTCCAAATTTCTGTTATAACCGAGAGCAATAACTCCAAGTACTTTTGTGAGTGCTTTTGATATGTCATACAAATTCTTGTTTTTTAAAAAATATTTATTCATTTACGTTTTTTGTTTTTTTGTTTTGTTTTGTTTTAGGTGGACACATTATTTTGTTTTTATGTGGTGCTGAGGATCGAACTCAGTGCCTCATTCATACTAGGCAAGCACTCTACCACTGAACCACAACCCCAGCCCTGATATCTCCTACAAATTCTGATATATGATTGGTATTTTCATTCTTATTTAGTTCTAAATTTTAAAACCTGTAATTTTTCTTTTCACAGCAGATATTTAAATGTAGGTGTTTAAATTTCAAAATGTATTTTTGGGTTTTTAAGTTTTTTTGTTGTTGATTTGTAACATAAATGCATTTTATAACTATTTGAGTTTTAATTTACCTAGAAGATATAACAATTCTAAATTTCTATGGATCTAATAATATAGCCCCAAATTTATAAAGCAAGAATTGATGGAACTACAAAAAAGAATACATAAATGATTGTAGCAAGGGAATTTAACACATATATCTCAGTAATGGAACAAGGCAACAAAATGTTCGTAAGGATAGAATATTTGAACAGTTTCATCATCAACCCTTATTGATTATCTTTGATATAGATATAGATATAAATATAGATAGATAGATCTATGTATATAGAGAGATCTATATATAGAGAGAGATCTATATATATATATATACGTCATATATATTAAGGATATATATGATATATATGTATCAGATATAAAGATATATATATATGTGTGTGTGTATATATATAGATGTGTGTGTGTATATATAGATATATGTGTGTTTGTATATATATACACACACACATAAATACATGTATTAAAGCACATATAGAAAATTTGACTCTAAGCCCTTCACTTACTGGAAGGCTAAGGCAAAAGGATCACAAGTTTGAGGCCAGCCTGGGCAACTTAGCCAGACTCTGCCCCAAGATAAAAACAAACAAACAAACAAAAAAGGGCTAGAAATACAGCTTAGTGATAGAGTGTTCCTGGGTTTAATCCCCAGTACCCACAAGCCCCCACTCCCCCCAAAATAGAATTGACTCTTTGCTAGGTTATAAAGAAATGTAAAAAACTAAAAATAATTAGAACCATATAGAATATATTCTCTGTTCATAATGCAATTCAATAAGAAATAAGATTTCTTATAATATTTTTTAATAAAAAATTTAATAGGACAAACATGGTAAGAGACTTGGTAATAGTATCAGTCTATGGATTTTTTAAAAAATGATATGCAAGGAGTACTTAGTAAGGCAGTACTCAGAAAATTATATGTTACTGTACTGTTTGGTATATTGGAAATATGCTTCTAAATCATACCCTAGGATAAATTACAAACTGCTGACAGCAATGATTTATTGAGAATTTATTTGTACAACTCCAGTAAGCATTAGTCATAGCTCTAGGTGCAAAGGATGCAGCTATTAACGAGCCAAAGTTCCTGCTTCAGCATTCAGGCCAGTAGGGAGAAAATACTAGATGATTATATGCAGCAACATAATCAAAAGTGGATGGAAGTGGTACATATTTCCTACTGGAGAGTTTTGTAGTAATTATTTATCTGAAAATGTCTTCACTTTCATTTTTGGTAATTATTTTGTTGTTTACAGAATTCTATGGAGACAGTCTTTTTTCCTTTCGACACTTTGAAATTATCATTGAAGATGTCTAACAACACAAGATTTTTCTAATGGAAAGTCTGTAGTTGCTTTTTAAATTTTTTTCTGTATATAATTTTTTTGCCCTCCCTTTCCTCTTTCTTTTCTCTCTTCCCCTCCCTTGTTCTCTTCTGTTTTGAACCCAAACATTGCTCAGCTCTAGAATTCCCATTAAGCTCACTGTCCTCCAGTAGCTATTTTAATTAGGCTAATAGTATTATACAGTAGCTTAGTATTTAGTCAAAGACTGAAAGGGATACCTGTCTAGAATATTTGCACTGTAAATTCCTGCCCCTTCACCAGCCCTGAACCCAACTCTTATTTTATTCTACCCACTTGCTGTCTATGTAGACTCCTACTCTTCTATGTTGCAGTTTGAAATTGTCACCAGTCAGAAACCAGAGTGCATGGGAAACTCAACTCATGTTTTCCTTTTTTCAAGTATCACAACCCCGTCTTGTTCTGAGACCAGTGCCTGAAAACAGTTGTTTCTTATGTTCTGTGTAGTTTCATAATTGTTGACAATGGAAGTATAAGTTCTATAACCATCCATTATTTTTTCTTGGCTGGAGTTGGAAGTTATACTAAATTTTTTGTTGGCAGAATACGTTTCATTTTTTAGGATTTCCATTTTGAAAAATGCTAAGGAAAAAAATTTCACTTTCTATTCAGACACAAACAACTTCCATTTTTAAATTTGAATTATTTAAAAATTGAGTAAATGCTGATTTTGTATGATAAAAGTGAGTTTTAAGTTCAAAAACAAAAACTTATTTTAAACTTTATCAGAAAGCTATAAGCAGTTAATAAAGGGTCAAAGGTAAAAATACTACAAGAGCCAAAAAGCATAAAGTTACTCTTTAGTTTTATTCATGTATCATTCATTCATTCATCCAACAAACATTTATTGACTGCTTAGTACTAGATATATACAGGTGATTTAGAAATAGTCTTATTCTTCAATGGATAACAGGAAAATATGAGAAAAATACAAACAAGTAAAAAATTAAAAAGCAATATAAATGAATCCCAGCTGAGGAGTTTGGTACTCCTTCAAACTGTCAAGATTATCAAAAACAAGGAAAATTGGAGAAACTACATAGCCAAGATAATCTTAAGGAGATATAACAAATAAATAGAATGTTGTATTTCAAATGGAGTCCTGGGGGAAAATGAAGTTTTTATTTTGAAAAATGAATGAAATGTGAAATTTAGTTAATAATGATGTATCAATATTGGCTCATTAATTATAGCAAATGTACTATAAAAATGTAAGATGATATCAATAGGGTAAACTGAATGTGGGGATAGATGGGAACCATGAATTGTCTTCTCAATGTTTATAAAATCTAAAACTTTTATAAAAAATATAATCTATTTTTTAACATGTGAAAATACAGGGATATTTGTGGAGTCCAAAGGAATGGCATCAGTAATAAATATTTAGGAAGCTTTGATTAATTTTTATAATGGTGCTAACTTTATTATAGATGTTACAAGCACTATTTTAAAATTTATTTCAGCATTGATACTGATGGAACAATGACAGTAGACTGGGATGAATGGAGAGACTACTTTTTACTGCATCCTGCAAAAAATATCAATGAGATTATTCATTTCTGGAAGCGTTCTACTGTAAGATTAGTTTGTGTTTTACTGTTTTCATTTTTCTCTAAATGTCATAGCTGTTTTTATCATTGTATAGTTCCTACAACATTTGTTACCTTAGTGGCTAAAGTTAAAGTATTCCTTCCTAATAATGTTCTACTGATTTAGTAAGGTAGTGGTGGGGGGTTAGTAGTCTACAGGCACAGCAACCGCAGATTTGTTTGTTTGCTGAAACCTGGAAATCAAAATAATGCTTATGAAAAGGGCCTACTTTGTGTTAAGAATTCATTACTATGCAATAGTTGGCCTGCCTTAGAGAAGTGAAAAATAATATGTATTATTTTTTCATGACCTACTACTCTTGCCTACCCTACTGGGTTTTGCTTCTTCTCCATAGACAATATAGGGGATGAAAAATGGAATAAACTCTGGGGTGAGAATATCTAGGTTTCAAGCCCACATCTGCCACCCTCTAGGTATATAAACCCCTCTATGATTCAGCTTCCTTAATTATGTGGTGGAGATAATAGAATGAGTTTTGAGAATTAAATTAGTATATTAATATATTTTAAACAATATGAGTATATAATTATTCAATCAATATGATAATAGGCACTTATTCTAATATGTTTCATCTGTGTTCCCAAATATTTATGTATTCTTAGGAAACATGTAGTATTATTTCATATGACATTTTATTTATATTGATAGTATTGTGCTAGAGGCCATATCTGATTTATTACTTGATGAATTTGTTCTCCTTCCCCATCCCCCCACCCCCTTTTTGAGGTGCTGGGGATTGAGTCCAGGGACTTAAGCATGCTAGGGAAGCATTCTGCCACTGGGCTATACCCCCAGCTCATCTGATTTGTCCTTATATGTTCATATAATTTGTTGTTTCTAACTATTACATAGCATGCATTTACCATATCTCATTTGTCCATTACCATAGTAATGGGCATTAGGTTTTCTCTAATTCTCCACTTACAGAAAATGCTTTCCTGTTATGTACCTTAGAGAATTTCATGTTGATTTCTGAATCATAGGGAATATGCATATATGTATATTTTACTAGGGCATCAGTCTTATTTTATGAACTATTGTCATGTTGTTTCCAAGAATGGCTTGCAAATGCCAGTTAACACTTCCATCAGCAATGTGAAGTTACCTGGTTATTTACATATTGTTTATTGCTTGACATCATCCAGTTTTCTATTATTTGCCATTCTATTGGGTATAAAGTTGTATCTCATTGTTTTAGTGCATTTATTTAATTCCTAGTGTACTTTGGACAGATTTTCATAGAAATATTAGATGTTTTCATGTTCTTCTTTTGTGGGGGGGAGTCCTTATCTTTCTTTTCTTATTTATTGAGAGACAAGATCTCACTGTGTTGCCTAGACTGGCCTCAGACTCCTGGGTTCAAGTGATTCTCCTGCCTCAGCCTCCTAAGTAGCTGGGAATATAGATGTGTACCACAGTGCCTGGTGGGGTCCTCGTTTTTTTTTTTTTATTTGTTCTTTTTAGGTATGCATGTTCTTTTTAATAAATTATCTGTTTATATCCTTTGTCTATCATTTATATCCTTTTGATGAGTTTTTTAATCTTTGTTATTTTATAGGTGTTGTACATTTATTCTAGATATTAATATCTATTGAGCTTAGACTTGCAAACATTTTTTCTAGTATGTCAATTTTCTTTTTTTATTGTTTTTTTGTCAATGCTGTTTTTGGTTAAAAACAAATTCTTAATTTTTTGCTAACTAAATCCATCAAAAATGGAATGGTTTGCAGTTTTTCTATTATATTTAAGTATTTCTCTACCTTTTGTTCACAAAGAAATTCTGTATTTTCTCTTTTAAGCTATAGTTTCATCTTTTATGTTTAGGTCTTTAATTCATCTGTAGTCTGTACTATATATATATATATATATATATATATATATATATATATATATATATATATACACACACACACACACATATATATATATATATATATTGAGGAAATATATATATATAATATTGAGGGAATTTTGATAATATAACTAACCTGTCTCTTTCTTCCACATTTGTTTATAGTACCACCTTTCTTGGATATGGAGCTTACATATGAACGTGTCTTTTTTTCTTGAGCTTTCTTTCTATCTGTGTTTGGTCTATTTCTTATACAGCTATTGAACTGTTTTCATGACCATGGCTCTATATTATATGACTTATCTAGTAAAGTAAATACTCTCTACTTACTCTCCTTCCCTTATTGATCTTTTTTGTTTGTTTGTTTATAAAATTAACCCATGTTTTTATAAAAGGAATTTTCTTATTTTTCCCCATAGACTTTAAAATTTTTTAATTCTAGCTGCATTTTTTTTAGAAACTTGATTATGATTAAATTTGTCTTAGTTTAGATTGGTATAACAAAATACCATAGACTTGGTGGCTTAAACAAAAATTTATTTCTCACAGTTCTGGAGATTAGAAATTTGAGATCAGAGGTGTGGTTTTTGGTGAGTACTTTACTCCTGGTTTACAGGGGGATATTTTCTTTTTGTACTTGCACATGTTCAGAAGAGAGGTAGCTAGCTGTCTGGCCTCCTCTTAAAAGTGCCCAACTCCAAATACTAACACATTAGGATTAGGATTTCAACATATGAATTTGGGATAGGAGTACACAGACATTTATCCCACTGCATTCTTCTCCTTGTCCCCTAAATTCATGTCCTTACATGCACAATAAATTCATGCCATTATAGTGGCACCCAAATTCCTAATTTGTTCCAGTATTGAATCTGTAGTCTAAAGACCAACATCTTATCTAAAATATCACCAAGCTGGGTGCAGTGGTGCACATCTGTAATCCCAGCATCTTGGGAGGTTGAAGCAGAAGGATCACAAGTTTAAAGGCAGCCTCAGCAACTTAGCTAGGCCCTGAGTGACTCAGTGACACCCTGTCTCTAAATAAAATACAAAAAAGTGCTGGAGATGTGGCTCAGTGGTTAAGTTCATCCTCTCCAGATAGGAGCCTGTGAAACCAAGCAGGTTATATGCTTCCAAAATACAATGGAGAGATAGGCATGGGATATAGTTTCCATTCTAAATGAGAGAAACAGGAAAGAATGGAAGGGAAGATGGGCCCCACACAAGTCCAAAATTTAGTAGGGAAAGCTCCACAAGCTCTTAAGGCTTGAGAATAATTGTTTTTGCTTGATGTCCACCTTCTGCATACACTAGAGCTGTGATCCTGCCCCACAACCTACTAGAGCAGTAGTCCATCTTCCTGGCTCTGCCCAGTGGGATTGTGCCCCAGGGGTTTTAGGTGGCTCTGCCCTCATGACCCTGCAGGGTATTGGTCCCACTCTTTGAAACTGAAGTGGAAGCTGTCTTGTCCCCAAGCCCAGCCTGTGCATTCTGGGCCTGTGTTGGGAGTGGTAGTTCTGATGATAGTTGAACCTCATTTGAGTTCTTCCCTTACCTAGTAGCACATGTTTTATGCTGAATAGCTCTTTGGTTTAGTCCTGTAGGGTCTAAGAAATATGGCAGTCTTTTAAAATTTTGGCCCATTTTCTGTTTCATTTGGTTTTAGTAGGCATTGTTTTTGCTTATTGTTTTTCTCTCTTTCCTTCCTAGTTTCTGTTGAGATGACTTGTTAAGTTCATGATTTACACTCACATTTACCAAATAGCAGTTCATTTCACTTTCAGTGTTTTCTTCCATATATACTTTTTCATTTTTTTGTAAACAGGCTGAGAATTTTTCAAGACTCTCAGTTCTGGTTCCTTTTTTCATGGTAATTCTGTCTTTAATTCATTTCTTTCCCCTTATACTTTTACTATAAGCAGTAAGAGGAGCCAAGCCTCTCCTTTAACACTTTGCTTAGAAATCTCATCAGCTAAATATCCAATTTCAATGCTCATATGTTTCACTTCCACAAAACACTAGAGTGTTTTGGATGAACAAAATTCATCCAAGTGCTTTGGCACTTTATAACAAGGGTGGCCTTTCCTCTAGTTTCCAATAATATGTTCATTTCCATTTGAGACCTCATTAGAATGGCTTTTATATTTCATATTTCTACCAATATTCTGTCCATGATTATTTATGTATGTTCTAGGAAGACAGAAGCTTTTTATAAAGTTCTATTTTCTTTTTGAGCCTTTACCAGAATTACCTTTAAACTTGCTTTAATGGCAATATTGGCATTATAGAGCATGCACTCTGAAGTTCTTGCAGCCTCTATCCATTACCCAGTTTTAAGGTTTCCATACTTTTAGGTATTTGTTGCAGCAGCGCTTTACTTCTCAGTACCAATTTTGTCTCAGTCAGCTTGTGCTGCTATAATACAATACCATAGACGAGGTGACTTAAACAGCAAACATTTCTTTCTCAAGTCAAAGATCAGCATGCCTGTATGATAGAATTCTTGATGAATGCTCTAATACTGGTTTGAAGAGGGCTATCTTCTTTTATTCTCATAGTGAAAAGAGTACTAGCTATCTGTCTGGCCTCTTATAAAACCTCCACCCTCATTGTCTAATTACTTTCCAAAGCACTTACTTCCAAATGTCAATGGGATTAGGGTTTCAACATATGAATGGGGGTGGATCACAAACTTTGCATTGAATTGATAGAATTATTTGGGGAAAACTAGTCTCTGTAATTTTAAGTTACTCCATCCACAAAGGTGACTTAGTTCTCTATTTATTCAGGTCTGCTGTTATATTCTTTATAGGGTATTAAAATTTTCTCTGAAATAGTCATCTGTATTCTTCATTAGATTAATTTGTAGATAATTTGTAGATTTTACCTCTATTGTGATATTTTTCTTAATATCTACCAGATTGGCAAAATTTTTATATTCCATTAAATTTTCCAGTTTATTATTTCTGCTTTGAGAATCTTATTTGTATGAGTTGATCTTCCTACTTTTAATTTTGTTAAAGTCTCTCATTTATTCTAATTATTAAAAAATTCTTTTTGTTTTGCTTTATATGTAACCATATTCTTGTATAAAAAATACCTTTATTGTTTT